TGAAAGATACATTATTTAATTGGTCAGGTATAAAAGAAGTAGAGCTAACTATTAGCTTAAATGGCATATCTAGTTATCAGAAATATGTACAGTGAAGTATGGAGTGAACAAAGAATAAATAATATATTTATTTATTAATATACACACACACACACATCTACACACATACTGAAAAGTGTGAGAATATCATTTTGCAAGCAACAACGAAAATTTATTTAGAGTTTGGCAGTGTAAGCAGAAAATTCTACATAAAATACACAAATCCTTGCAATCTGGCCAGGAACCTTAAAAAAAAAAATCTAACATGTAGATAAAACTGAAGTATACTTAGATACAATATATTAGCCAACATATTTGAGCTTATCATGCAGGACTATAAAAAAGACATTTAATTGCCTTGTATGATGCTTCTAATCAATTTCAGCCTAATTTATGGAAATTTGATTTAAAATCATGAATGCCAAGAATGTATTGCAGATGCTATGGAATATTATCTAAGGAACTTGGTTTTGTCTCTGCCAGTCACAGGCATCGTGGCAGATCCTGTTTTGTCAGCTGTCACTCTTTCTCCTCACCCTAGAAATCTATCTATGACAATTGTTTAAAAGCCAATTATCCCTTATCTTAAACCAGAACACAAATGTAATATTTATTAGATCATCACCAGCTTTGACAGAGAATGGTGAGCAGAGTTCCCTTGTTTAATGTAAGTTATTATGTGATAAGTAACTATTTAAAATGTTCTTTTTTGTTGGGTATTATTTTGCTTCTTTTCTGAAGTAGAAATTATGTTTTGTAAAAATAAAATTGTTACTTTTTAAAATTTATATTTCTCTTTTTCCTCCTTAGGAGCAGTACTCAGTTTTCACTGCTGGGTGGTTTTAATCTCTATCCCTTCTCAGATCAGAATATTTGTATAGGAGATATAAGGAACAGACAATTAATGAGGAAGCTGCTGTATACTGAGAATGACAACTGCCCCCTCTAACTTATTACTCCCTGCACTCATCAGTCATGGCTCTCTGGATCTTTTCCAACCTTCCTTGGAAAGGCCAGAGGCTGGACTGTAACTTTGGCATACAAACATGTGCTGTATTACCAAGCTATAGACTGTGAATGAATGGTCCACGTATTCATTCACAATAGATATCCTCAATCATTCACATCCATCTTCTGAACTGCAGAGACCCGCTGCAGCACTGCAGACTCCATGGACCATCTCCTTTCCCTTCCTCTCCACAGTGAGCCTAGAACTGCTCTTGCCCTTCAAGGAAGCCTCTCCATCTTTTTCATGTCATTTAACTCCAAAGGATAGGAAAATGTTGCTATGATGGCAATCATAAAAATGGGATTACAGAGAGGAAGAAGCAGCAAGGCCCTCAACCAGGAAGAAGGCTGGGGATTGCAAAATGGTGTACTTCAGAAATTTCCAAAGTGCAAAGCTGTACAGAGGCTGCTCTTTCTTCTCCACACTATACATTGCTTAGCACATGTGATGGCATTAAGCTCAGCAGGCACTGCTGCTGACATATGTACCTTTGCTCTAACTGAGTTGGGCAGGAAGGATCAGGAACATAGATTTTGAGCTTTGCTTCTCACTGAGAAATATTATGAAACTCAGAAGGAGACTCAGGTTTATGTGCACTCTAGAAATTCCTTTGGAGCTTGGATTTTATTTTAAAATCTTTTATTTTATTCATAAAACAACATTTCCCCCCCTACCATGAAAAAGCAAGAAGATATAAATGGGGCGAACATATATGTTGCAAACTTTACTTCATCCACTAACCGAGAGCGCAATTATTTTATCACAATGGACACAGAACAATTTTAACTCCCATATATAAAATCCCCCCCCCTTTTTTTTTTAATCCTAGGAGTCTCCTATTTTTCATGTTCCCATTGGACACTTGAGTGGTTTTGACAGGATCATTATTTTCCCCTATTCTCCACAGACTGAAATCATGACACTGAAGGGAAGAATTTCACCATCTGGAACTGAATAGATATTGAAAGAACAAATCCAAAATCTCACCAACATTCTAAGAGTAACTATAAGTGACATGCAGAGCTCCCTTCTGGTTATAATCCCCAATAATTTATTTTACAGGTATATTTCCCTTCATTTCCACAAGTCAGAGAAAAAGAATACTCAAAGCCTGAGGAGATATATAATATGGCTTGCAAAAACGTTTGGTCTGCAAATTGTGTTTTGTAAAAGAAACCACCACCTAGGAAACCTTATAAGGAAAGTATTAATGTACAATCAAATTTGGGTCACAAATGCATGCCTATGACTAGGACTGGATGATCTGTCAAGATCAATCTTGCTCAGTTTCTCTTTTTCTAGCCTTCGGTTACTTCCATCCCATTACACATCATTTGGCAGTTCGTGTGTAAAATGTCAACATAAAAATTTGCACACATTTTCATGAACGTTTCTCCTAATGAACAGATTTCTATGCAATTTTTTTCCTAATGTTCTTATATGTTACTTTTACCAAACTATTAATTTCTGTATGGTTTTTTTCTCTTATGTGTGCATTTACACTTAGCGGTTGTTGCTGTTTACAACTCTTATTGCAAAATGTGGGAAAGATGGCAAAAATTGTATTCAGTGCACATGTTAAGTTCGGGAAATTTGTAAATTTCACAATAAAATGCAAAACAAATGTTTGTCTCCAACCCTAATCATGTTAGAGACACCCATCTAACTAATGGATAATAATAATTACCCATAATAATAATGTGTACATAATACACAGGAATTACCTCTCCCTTGTCCCCTCCACCGATAACTTATTTGGCTGAAACGGAACTTTTTCAGGAGAAAATAAGTAATAATATATAATATGTATTATACATAATGTACAGTGGAACCTCGGTTTATGAACTTAATTCGTTCCGTGACTCTGGTCGCACCCCAAATTGGTCGCAACCCGAAGGAGATTTCCCCATAAGGTTCAATGTAATTACCGTTAATCCGTTCTGGCATGGAGGACAGGGA